TGATACACTTTTTTTTTTTTTTTTTTACAGTGTATCAATTTGTTTACTTCCTTCCCTTGAATTCATAAATAGAAATAGACCATAAACCCACTCTTTTGTGCTGGCCTTTATCAGTTTTTCTTTGTGAAAGCAGTTTTGAACAGTAGAAATATAAGTTTACCAGTTTTTCTTTGTGAAAGCAGTTTTGAACAGTAGAGATATCAGTTTATCAGTTTTTCTTTGTGAAAGCAGTTTTGGCGTGAACAGTAGGAACAGCCGTTGTTGTGTAGTTAATGGTGAACTGGTTGGAAAAGTCTGTGGCCTAATTGTAGTTGATGAAAGACTCGTCGCCTTGATCTGCATGACTGTTGAGTAGCAGTGTTGACAGCCAGTGCTTTCCGCATCACTTCCTGTTTTTCCCTCAACATGGGCTGTGGTCATGTAATCATTTCTGTCCCAGTCACAGCTAGAGTAAGAAGCAGGATAAAAATGATATCATTAAAGCAAATGACCCGGTTTACTTTTTCTCCACAGTTTGTTTGGCATCTCCTCCATCGTTCGAACCGACTGTTCCTCAACCTGGAAGCTTGCTGTCAACAGTGGTCTGAACTGGCACCATTTTGTCAATCCCATCATGCTCTTGGTCCTGTACTACACACTGGCCACCTTGATCCGTCTGTGGCTGCAAGATCCCATGATCATGGTGAGCCTAATGTCACGAAGTGAAGAAAGTACTAATATTTTAAAGTGTATTTATTATTTGAATGTACACATTTTTAATGATATTTTTTAGTTAAACATATCCAAATATCCTTTAAATATTATACTTTAAATTATTTTTGTCATTGGCATAAAGGTTTTTTATGTTTTTAAGCATAAAAATTCCAGTGACGAAAAAAATGGTTTAAACATAAATTTATTTTGAAAATAAATAAAGTATGTTATTGTGTTTTACACAAAATCTTTTTTTTAATCTTTGATGTCAAGCTCAATTTAATGCATTCTTCGTGCACTTTAATACAAAGAAATTGATTTGAATATATTAAGAGATTTTACAAAAGGCAAACAAAATATTGAGGACAGAGAGACAAACCTGTATAATGATTTACTGATCAATTAACAATTAGTTTCAAGAAAACATTTTTAGTTAAAATTTTGGTTAAAAATAAAGAAATATGCTATATTTCTTAATAAAAAAATAAATGTTAATATTCCCTAATAAATATTAGTCAACTGTGTGTATAATATGCTTTGCTTATATGAAGAAGGGTTATTATTATTAACTAAAATAATTTTTGTTCATTTAAATAAAATAAATGTTACCTTTATATAAATAAAATAATAAAATGAAAAATGAAAAAAAAAACTTTAAAAACAGTTTATAAAATAAAAATGAATAAACTATGTAGACTTTTAAAACTAATAAATAATGACAATAACACAAGAAAAATTCAGAAACTTATACTAAAATTAAAGTGAAAACAAAATATCTAAATAAAATGTAATTTAAAAATATTAACAAAAAAATCATGGCTATATAATAGTATTTCAATCAAACTAAAATAACACTGATATGAAGATGTGTATGATAGGTACATAAAGTACAATGTCGGTTTGATCTCTCACCTTTTTCTCATCTGTCCACATGCTGTCGTGACTTTATAGAGCGGTCAATACACTCGCTCCTTCAAAACCTCACATGCATGAGCTTATTGATTCACATGCTTCTAGGTTTGATCACAGCATGATTTCATGATTTTCTTGTCGCCGTAAATCTAAGTGATGAGAATAACCGGTTGCGTGACTTCACAAAGAGATCGATGATGAATCATGAACGCCGTTACGCTTTCATCCGATGAAATGATTAGTTCAGTGTTGTTGTTTTCATCTCGTGACTCCATTAAGCGTGTTTATCATCTTCGGCGTTTTCTTTCGTAAGCTGCTCCATGATACATGTTTTAATTCCATTCACGCTACTCACTGAATATGTTTCTGTGTTTATTGATCTTTCTCCAGCAGGAGAGTGAGGAAGAGGAGATAAACGAGGGAAATGAGGCCGCGGGAAACAGCTTCGTTCACACGTCGATCGGGAAGCGGCTGCTCTGGTGGAAAGCGCATCAGAAAACTGAGGAAAGAAATGTGAGGAAACAAAGAGCATTTTTAAAGCTTAAATTAAGGAAATGTCTCACAAGGTCAACTCTATCTTAATTCAAATATTTAATTTTAGAGGTCGCAATATAAGTCCGAATTCAGCATGGCCATAGCCTAGTGAAACAAAAACATCCAAAATACACTTTTAAGTGTTTATTTTATTGCACTTTATATCTATTTGTGTCTAGATTTGAATTACGATACATATTTTCAAAGGCCATTTTTATTGAAGTTTTATCTCCACTTAAGCAGCACTTACATGCACTAAAATTTACAGTTGTATTCCTATCTATATTTTGAAGTTTTTTACTGAGGAATTTGTTTATATATTATTCGCACTGATTTATATAATGTTTTATTCTAAAACATGCTGAAAATTTTTTTTTTTTTCTGGCTGTTGACAGTATTTTTGGATTTATTGAGTGATAAAAATACATATGTTTCTAGAAAATAAATCTGAACATTGGATAAAGCCAGATTCAAAATTCTTGTTTCATTTTGTTGACGTATTAGAGTTAAATGTTTTTATAGAAGGGATTTTTGATATCTCTTTTTATCATTCCATAAATCAAAACATATGGTCAACAGCCAGAAAAAAACAAATTCACCATGTTTTTAGGAATAAAATGTTATATAAATCAATGTGAATGATATATGAACAAATTCCTCAGTAAAAACTTTCAGAATATCAATAGGAATAAAACTGTTAAGTTTGATGTATGTAGGTGCAGCTGAAGTGGAGATAAAAACTCACAGCCTTTAAACATATGCATTTTCACCATGCTTTTAGAAATAAAATGTTATATAAATCAGTGTGAATGATATATTAACAAACCCCTCAGTGAAAATATTCAGAATATAGAGAGGAATAAAACTGTTAAGTTTGGAGTATGCAAGTGCTGCTGAAGTGGAGAAAAAAATTAACAGCCTTTAAATATACACATTTTCAACCATGTTTTTAAGAATAAAATGTTATATAAATCAGTACGAATGATATATGAACAAACCCATCAATAAGAATATTCAGAATATAGATAGGAATATAACTGTAAATTTTAGTGCATGTAAGTGTTGCTGAAGTGGAGATAAAACTCATTTTGAGAAAACATGGCCTTTAACCCTTGTGCGTCAATTAAAAAAAGTTACACATAGGTTCATAGAGGACAAAAATGTCCATGTCCAAAAACTGTCATAAAAATTTGAAGCTTGGGACTACAGACTTAAGTTTGGTCTTATTTTAAAGAAGACCCTTGACAGATTATTGGTAAAATTGTTTTACAACTTTAAGCTTATGAAAATGATTTATGAGCAATTTTTTATATAAAATATATATTTTATAAAACATGTTGAACACAAAAATTGCTAGAAAATCAAATTCATAAATCTAAACAAGTTGTGTTCCAAATTTGATGTTGATATCTCAAAAAATGAGCTTTTAGTAAGATTTTGTTTGGGTGTAGTACCAAACTTTTCCCTTTAGATTCCAGCAAAGCTCCGCTGGCATATGATTTGCAGTACAGTATAATTTCTCTCTCTCAAACATTACAGGTGCACACACACAAACACACACACTTTTTTTTAGGACACTCTGACATCCATACCAACACACCCACACTATTATAGCTGCATAATTTATCCAACTGACTCTATAATACAGCAAAAGCAGAAAACAGGAAAATTGTGAGTATTTGCTTTATAGGCCAAATCTGAGAAAATGGCACCATCTAGTAAATTTGATTTTTTAAATTAATTTTGAAGCCTTGCCAACAGAATGAAAGCTTATTAACAAAGACTGCATCATTTTATAGTTAAATGGCCCTGGGAATAAAAAATCGCAGTTTTAATGGGTTTCAATGAGGACATTTTTGTCCTTAAGGTCCTGAGAGGAACTATTTTTTGTACCTAGTGTAAAATAGATTAAAGGAGGGTGAAATATTAAAATTCCAATAAAAATACATGCCTGTGCCAAAATTTATGCAGTTGGCATTAACACAGGCAAAATGATAAAAAAAAAAAAAACAAAAAAAAAAAACGAAAAGGACAAAAATGTCCATAAGGTCACACAAGGGTTAAAGATATGTATTGAAATTAAAATCTACAAATGCAAATAGATAAAGTGCAATAATATAAACACTTAAATGTGTATTGTGGGTGTTTTCATTCCACTAGTCTGTAACAACAAGGTATGAAAAACCAAATATCACAAAATTGATTAGTGCATAATTATTATTATTATTTTTTTTTTTTGGCTGTAGCGTCTTGTCTTAAAAACAGCATCAAGAGTGTCCATGTTATCTTAAACTTTAGCGTCAGCATTAAAGGTTTTTTAGCTCGTGTCGGTCTGAGTGCTGGTCTCTATCTGTGAATAGTGCCGCTGTACTTTGCTCTGCTCAGCGCTGATGTTAGAGAACAGCATAATGTTATCGACCTCCTGTGCTCATCAATACATTCACCTTGCCCCGTCTGCTGTCTTTATTTCTTTCTCTCTCTCTTTAGCTCATTTCCACTCAGGACGGGTACAGCACCTCGGAGGTTTGCTATCACTGTGGTTTTGCCAAGTCTTATGTAACTCTGTGTCAAATATTTGAACTGTGGACAAATATAGTGTGATTGATTTGAGCTTTTAGCAGCTTGTGTCTGTGTGTACGCTGCTCTTGATGTGGCATGATTCAGTGGCTTTGGGGTGAAACGCGATCTCTCTGGGTGAATCTCCTAAACTGTTAAATGAAAAGAAAAAGAAGCCTCCCCACCCCTCCAAATTTTCATGACTAGTTGTTTTGTAAATCTCATTAAATTTAATTTTCCTCTTTTTAAATAAATAATATATATTGTTATTAAAATTAAGTATACTGCAATATACTGTGCAATTTATATCTATAATTATATATGATTTAAAATATGTAATAATTAAAATATATATATTTTTCATATTTCCCATTAATCCCATAAATCTCATTAGATTAAAATGATTATTTTTTTAAATAGCAATTGTTAAAAATAATAGCATTACATTGATATTAATTGCATATTAATTTATTATTGTAATAAAAATATATTGTATATTTTATTTATTTATTTATTTTTACGTTCTGTAAGGAGAATTTGTAGTGAAAAGATGTGGTTGATGAAAATGTCAAAACTCAAAAAAAAAATGTTGGACATTTTCTTGTTGGTTTTGTGAGATTCACCCATTTTGACAAGCAAAGATTTTTACACACTTCAACTGTGACACTACATGTGTGTGTTAACACACTTTATTTTTACAGTCTATGGTTAAAACTGGCTGCAAAAACAATTATAATCTTGTATGCTGTATATTAATTACTTTTAGACAGATATTAGTTCTTTTCTGTGCACATTATATGACCTGTCCCTTGTGTCATTTTTTTTTTTGTGTTGCTATAAAGGTTGTGGTGGTCAACTCAAATGGGACGTCGTTTGATTATGTCTCCGCTGTGCCCATTGAGAACGGACCGGTCAGTCTGGACATTTACTCAACTCCTCAGTACAAAGTGGATCAGCCTGTCGAATTTGAAGGTGAGATACCATAAATACACATCCATAGATATCTTTGAACTGAAACACCTAATAAAACAATTCAACATCTAAGTGTATATTCTACCCAGGGTTATCATAAAAATGAAACCATAAAAAATCATTTTTGTTACTTCACATAAACGTTAACTAAATTAAAATATTAAAAATATTAAAACAGAAGTATAAATTAATAAAAAATGGCAGAAATATAAATGTCAGAAATGCACGACAAAATTACTAAAACTTTAACAAAAATGAAAATGATAACTGAAATTAAAACTAATTCAAACTGTTAATAAAAACTATAATAGTATCTCAATAATACTAAAATAAGATGTTCTATCGGTGCTTCTATCGAAATGTTTAACAACATTTAGATGAGAAGTAGATAATAAAAGCCAGTTTAAAAACAAAGCACAATAAACTGTTCTGTTCTTCCGTATCTACTTTATTTGATACCAAGGCTGGTAAAAAAAACCACAAAAAACTGGTCAAAAACTGGGTCAAATCCAGTGACAAGTTCTTCCTCAAAAGCGCTCATTGCACTATAACCTGGGTCTTTCTAAACATGACTAACTGATTAGAATCTCACCGCTGTCTGTGGCTGAGACTAGTTCCTAGTTAACTAATATCTGATCATTCACTGAGATTTTTCTTAAGTGAACAATGGAAATGACTATTATTTTAATGCTCCACACAGAGAAGACGGATGAAAACACGAATGAGATCTTGGACTCACAGCTGGAGGAGGAAGAGGAGAAGACAGATGCGGAAGAGGAAGAGGAAGAAGAAGAGGAAGAGCAGGGCGGACCACCAGGCGCTCTCGTGAAAGTGTTCAAGTTTGTCATGAAGCAGAGCTACATCTGTGCTCTTATTGCTATGATGGTGAGAAGCTCAAAGCTTAAAGGGATAGTTCACCCAAAAATGAACATTTGCTTTTAATTTACTCACCCTCAGGCCATCCAAGATGTAGGTGATGTTTTTTTTCTTCAGTAGAGGAGTAAAAGATGATGTTTAGCAGAAAACGTGGTCCTTAGTGATTCATAAAATGTAAGTCAGCAGCTACCGTTTTTTTGAGAGAAAAAAAATACATTGAGGTCTTATAAAGCGAAATGGTCAGTCTGTGCATGAAACTGAATATTATTTACAACATTATTACCTGTAATCCAGAGCCTCAGGCAGATGGACCGAGTGATGTCCGGTTTGTGAAAGAATCTTCTTCTTTTGAACCGGTTCTTTTTAGTGAAGTAGTTGAACCAGTTCACCAAATTGGACTGAACTTCTGAAACGGCTCAAGCAACACAGATCTACAAGTTGATCAAATCAAAACTCACTTTCAGAGCCAGCATACAGTATCTGATCCTATGATAAATTAAGTCATTCAGCGCTTCAGTTCCTCCAACAGGCACTGAACTGAGGAAAAAGTTTGAAATTATGGAAATTAATACTTTTATTTAGCAAGGATGATTTGAAATGATCAAAATTAATGATAAAGACATTTATAAGGTTACAAAAGATTTCTATTTCAGATAAATGCTGTTTTTCTGAACTTTCTATTCATCAAAGTAACCTGAGAAAAATTCTACTCCGCTGTGTTCAACATAATGATAATAATAAATGGTTTTCAAGCAGCAAATCCGCATATTAGGATGATTTCTGAAGGATCATGTGACACTGAAGACTGGCGTAATGATGCTAAAAATTCAGCTTTGAAATGAATTTTAAAATATATTCAAATAGAAAACAGTTATTTTAAGTAAAAAAACAAAAAAAAACAATTTTACAGTTTTTGCTGTATTTTGGATCAAATAAATGCAGGCTTGGTAAGCAGAAGAGAGTTCTTTAAAAAACATTAAAAATCTTAGTGTTCAAAAATTTTTTGACTGGTAGTGCTATTTCGTATATGTCACGTCATTATGTGATTACAGTTAATAAATGGTGAATTAGTTATTTGAACCAGAAACAAAGGCTACATTCACAGTCAGTTTTTGGCATTGACAACCGCATTTTTTTTTTTACAGGTGTGAGTCTCGAAATTTCCCGTTCACACAGCAGCGTCTCGAATACTGTATGTATGAACCTGCAACGGGTGTCATATATATATATCTATATATCTACATATATATCTATGGTCGAGCCCGTATTCCTTACCAGTAACCATAGCAACAGTGACCAAAGTAATATCAAAGATGGCGACGTCCATAAAACTGAAGGTTTTTTCACTTTCTGACACGACTGGAGTCGAATCGAGCCGCGAGTATTTGAGTCGCGTGCAGAACACAATACTGACGGAAGAGCGGCTCCGGTGGAGAAAAACTGACTAAAACTTTCAGATGACACACAGCTCATTTCTCCGTCACTGTAAGTTACCGAAATCACACATGAAAACTCGTAACACACGATAGACACGCGTTCTATCTCTCGTAGTTGTCCAGTCCTGTTAAGTTCACACAGCACGTGTGTTAAGAGAATGCGGTTGTGAGTCCTGAAAATGTATGGGTGTGAGTTCGGTTACAGAATGCGGTTGTCACGCCTGTAAATATATACGGTATAACAGTACTGTGTGTTAACATAACCGTATTAAGGACTCAAATTCTGCTGCTGTGTGAACGTGGCCTTTACTGTCCAAAAGAACCAGTTCACGGAAAAGAATCAAATTTCCCCGTTTGCCTGAGGCTCTGGATTATACATGTAATAATGTTGTAAATAATGTTCAGTTTCTTGCACAGACCGATCGTTTCACTTCATAAGACCTCAGTATATCGTCAGGAGCCACGGTATTCATTTTGTGTTCTTTGATATGTATTTTTTTTTTATGGTAGCCACTGAATTCCATTTTATGAATTACCAAGTAACGTTTTCAGCTAAAAACTTCTTTACTCTTCGATGCAAGAAAAAAGTCAACTACATCTTGGATGGCCTGAGGGTAAGTAAATTAACAGCAGATTTACATTTTTAACTATTCTTTTGAAGTTCTACATTAGATTTTGAGTAGGAAAAGATTCAACAGGAAACATAAAACTATGAACCATGGCATCTCATCATCGATCTTTCTTCATCTCTAAGGCGTGGAGTATAACGTACGTTAGCTGGCTGACGTTTGTCTTTCTGCTGTGGTCCTGTACTCTGTGGATGGTACGTGACCGGAGGAAATACGCCATGATGACCTCGCCGTTCATGGTGGCCTATGGGAACCTCCTGTTGGTCCTTCAGTATATCTGGTGTTTTGAGCGCTTGGATCCAGTGCCGGGTTTCTTTCTGAAGATGGAGGTGCCCTTCACTGAACTGAGCAGCAAGGTAACAATTATACAATGAACTGCCTGATTTTGCATAAGATTATTTATTTTCACTTTAATCAGGCCTCAACAATAGGTACAGTTTCTGCTGTATATATCTTTAAAATATGTATATTTGTATTTAATATGTATATACATTTCATTAGTATATTTTGTTTTAGTGTAAATAAGAAATACAAATAATGCACTTTTACTTTTATTGCCATTTAAAAAAACTCTTTTTTTTATTCTAATAAAAAAGGTGCACAATCATCAAATATGATTGCTGCTCAATTATTATTATTATCAATAGTAAAGTTTTTGAAAAAGAAATCTTTTATAACATTATAAATGTCTTTTCTGTTAATTTGATCAATTTTGATCTGTTCTTGCTGAATAAAGGTGGGGTTTTTTTCTTTTTCTTTTTGAAGTCGTATTACCCCAAACTTTTGAATGGTACAAAAAAATATGAAGCAGCACAACTGTTTTCAACAGTAATAATAAATCAGAAATGTTTCTTGAGCAGCAAATCAGCATATTAGAATGACTTCTGAAGGATCATGTGACACTGAAGCCTGGAGTAATGATGCTGAAAATTCAGCTTTGATCACAGAAACACTTTTTTATTATATTACTACTTTTTATTAATATTTTATTACTTTTTAAAAAAAAAGTATATATTTATATTCAAAGAGAAGAACAGTTATTTGAAATTGTAATGATATTTATTACTGTTTTACTGTGTTAATGAACAAATATCTTCAGCCTTGGCAGAGGTGGACCGTAATGAAGTACATTTACTTGATTACTGTACTTAAATACACTTTTTGAGCATCTGTACTTTACTTGAGTATTATTTTTCTGGAAACTTATGACTTTAACTTCACTACATTTGAAAGACAAATATATCGCACTTTTCACTCCACTACATTTCTATCAAGGTCCTCGAAGTAGAAAGCCGTTACAAAGTAGCAGCTTGTCTGTGGGTGATTTTTTCTTCTTCTCTAAAACATGACTTATAAGTAATCACTCTTGTAGGGTTACATGAAGGGATTTTCCAGCATTCTTTAAACACTAACCAGTTGCAAATGTGATATTTATTTACAATAATTCAATAATAAGAAGTTAATATTGTGGTATATGTTAGATGCAATATTGTCTGATTTTGCAAAATTGTGTACAGTAAATGAAAATATTACCTATAAAGCAACAGAAGAACTGCTGTGCGTCTCCTAACAAAACACAACAGGTGTTTGACTTGAAGCATATTCTACAGATAATTTATTAGGTTTTTTATACTATATAACTAGGCTATATAACTATAATGCAACCCCATGACAGTTAGAAATTTATAAAAACACTTATGATGTAAAACGTTGGTATACTGTGCTTTGTTTATCAATTTCAGTCCATTCAGAAGAACCTTAATCAGTTTTTTGTTGAAACCCAAAAATTGGGTTTCTGCAGAGCATTTTGCTAATGTGTTTTTGGCATTGTGACTGTTTGTAGGTTCTGTGTCAGCTGAGTTTCTGGCTTCTGCTCAGACAAACTTTGATGGAGAGACAAGAGAAGATGGAAGAGGAAGCAGCTCTTTGTGACATCCAAATAGATGAGCAGAAAAAAGGTGGGGTCCTATATGTAACATACAGATGAAACCCTTTAATAGTCACTGCAGGAAATCTCTCTTCGTTGTTATATATTCATAAAGAAATAACTTTCCATGTGGGTTGCAGAGGAAGAGAAAGACAAAGAGGAAGAGGAGGGGGACGAGAACGACCTGATGCATGTGATTGGGAAACTAGTGATGGCTCTGCTGGTGAAATACTGGATCTATGTTTGCGGAGGAATGTTCTTCTTCGTCAGCTTCGAAGGAAAGATGGTCATGTACAAGATCATCTACATGATGATGTTTCTGTCCTGCGTGGCTCTTTACCAGGTGCTGCACTGCTGTCTAACCATAGAAAGCCTAGAAAGCTTGTTAGGATGTTGACTTCACTACAAAAAATAAAATATATATTTTATGCAAAATAAAAAATGACAATATAAAAAAACTATATGTATTTATAGAATTTACAATAAAATGTGTTTTATTATGTTTTATTGTAAAATAGACTTAATTTTATACATATACTGTAGTTCACCCAGAAATGTATGCGTGTAATTTTTGCATAAAATTAAGCCTATATATATAATTTTACACAAAATTTATATAATTTATTCTATTTATTGTATTTTTTTTGCATCAAATTAAGCCTATTTTATATAAAATTTTATATATAATTGTATAAATGTAATATATATATAATTTATTTTTAATTCTAATTTTATAAATAGAATTTATGTAAATATAATTGATAATTATTATTTTATTGTATTTTCGCATAAAAAGATGCCTGTTTTATTGTAAATTTTATATATAATTTGTTTAAATATAATGTATATAAATAAATATATATGTATGACAAATAATATATATGAGATATATACCCAAAAATGTTATGATAAAATAGATAAATATTTATTTAGAAATATAAATTATGACAGAACTTTAATTTTTGGATGAACTTTTCTTTTAAAGGTATTTGACAGAGCGGTTTTTCTCCTCAGGTGCATTATGAATGGTGGCGCAGGATCCTGAAGTACTTCTGGATGTCTGTGGTTGACAATATAAAAAAACTATATGTATTTATAGAATTTACAATAAAATGTGTTTTATTATGTTTTATTGTAAAATAGACTTAATTTTATACATATACTGTAGTTCACCCAGAAATGTATGCGTGTAATTTTTGCATAAAATTAAGCCTATATATATAATTTTACGCAAAATTTATATAATTTATTCTATTTATTGTATTTTTTTTGCATCAAATTAAGCCTATTTTATATAAAATTTTATATATAATTGTATAAATGTAATATATATATAATTTATTTTTAATTCTAATTTTATAAATAGAATTTATGTAAATATAATTGATAATTATTATTTTATTGTATTTTCGCATAAAAAGATGCCTGTTTTATTGTAAATTTTATATATAATTTGTTTAAATATAATGTATATAAATAAATATATATGTATGACAAATAATATATATGAGATATATACCCAAAAATGTTATGATAAAATAGATAAATATTTATTTAGAAATATAAATTATGACAGAACTTTAATTTTTGGATGAACTTTTCTTTTAAAGGTATTTGACAGAGCGGTTTTTCTCCTCAGGTGCATTATGAATGGTGGCGCAGGATCCTGAAGTACTTCTGGATGTCTGTGGTGGTTTACACCATGCTAGTGCTCATCCTAATCTACACCTGTCAGTTTGAGAACGCCATCGCTACCTGGACCAGAATGACGGGCATATCAGAAGACGTGTGAGTTTCGAACATCCTTAGATGTGTTTGATCTAGTGCTGTCAAACGATTAATCGCGATTAATCACATCCAAAATAAAAGTTTTTGATTGCATAATATATGTGTGTGTACTGTGATATATATAAATACATACACATGCATGTATACATTTAAGAAAAATATGTTATGTTTATATATTTAATATATTTATATATGATATAATTAATATGAATATAAAAATACATGTAAATATTTTCAAAATGTGTGCTGTATGTGTGTGACTTTATATATACATGATAAATATACACAGTACACACACATATTATGTAAACAAAAACTTTTATTTTGGATGTGATTAATCGCGATTAATCATTTGACAGCACTAGTTTGATCAGTTGAACGTACCACAAACCATACCATGCAGACCCTAGTCAGCTGCCTTGTGGTCCATTAAACTTTGTATATGACTAATTTGAGGTGCAGAGTATTAGATTCTGGCCAAAATGAAAGTGTTTTAAGTCCGAATAATGCAGTAATGATTCTCTGTTTGTCTCTCAGACTGAAGGACATCGGTCTGGAGAGGTACATCCTCTCTGATCTGTTCACCCGTATCTTCATCCCCACGTCCTTCCTGCTGGTCTGCATCCTGCACCTGCATTACTTCCACGACCGCTTTCTGCAGCTCACTGATCTCAAAGCCGTCATCAGCAAAGAGCAGAGCACCATTTACAGGTGAGAGACGCTTTCCCGCCAGTCACAGCTGATGCTAACAGGAAGAGTGGAGATGTCATGTGTCATAAACGAGTTTTAACACAAATGCATACCTGTTAACCACATGTCAAATCAACTATTTTCTTAGTGAAATAATAATAATAAACAATTATCATCATAATGATTATTATGTGATTGTGATTGATTAGAATTGTTATTATTATTTTTGTTGTTGTTGTAATGAATAATAATATGCAATAATTAGCTCAGAATTATTGCTCAGAATTATCATTAAAACATTATATTATTATAATAATAATAATAACAATTATTATTAGTCATTATTATTCATGCATAGAATTATTATTATTAAAACATAATATTTTATATAATAATTATGATAATTGTGTGTTGAACGATAACTCTTATGTTACATTGCTTTAATGATTAATTTGAGCAATATCTTACTTTAGTACTACTGTGCTCCTACTGAAGGAGTTTGTTTCATTCTTGTTGAACTTAACTTGACGTTGTTTCATCCTGATGCCTTGTTTCCTCATTTCTTCATTTCTCTTCATGAACGTTTTCTCTCTATTGAATCTGCAGCAGTGTCATCCTTGTTTTATCTGTTAAATGCTGCCAGTCCTCAGTCTTATTTATGCAAATCCATTTCTGATTTTAACCAATCATGTGCTCCCGTCTTTCCCCTGCCGTCCCTCACCTCACAGCTATACTAAAGTCAGTGGTCGTATCTATCTGATCGTGGATAGGTGGGTGACTGCTTGTCTTTCTCTGGCATCCATGGAAATAACAACCAATGTTCACCTTTTCCCTGAATTCCCACAATCCCTCAATACTCCCGTTCGCCAGTACACTCTTTTCTCTCTTAATGATATAACTTTTTTTTTTTTAAACGGTTCGCTAGATTCCTGGATAGATCAAAAAAATTATGATGTCTCTGTCACTGAATTTTCCTGTCTAGAACTTCAACGTTTCTCAAAGTCAACATGAAACCGCATTCAAAACCATTTTATTTCCAGGTAATATTCAAAGAGGATTAAAAAATCCTTTTATTAACGGTTTGTTTTATTCCTCGTTAACTGATTGGATCATCAGATGATGACCAGCACGTCAAAACTTAGCATTATTTGCTGTTACAGTATTGCTGTATTTCTATTACATTTAACGGGCACTAAAAGACTGCGTTAACTGTTGGTAAGATTTTAGAAAGGCTACTTGACCTTCAACAGCAGCCTAAAATAATAACTAGAAAGATGTTTGGCTGTTCGTTAAACTGTTAGTTCACCCAAAAATGAAAATTCTGTCATTAATTACTCACCCTCGTGTTGTTCCAAACCCGTAAGACCTTTGTTCATCTTCGGAACACAATTTAAGATATTTTTGATGGAATCTGAGGGCTCTCTGACCCTCCCATAGACAGCAAGGTAACTACCACGTTCAAGGCCCAGAAAAGTAACACGATGATCGACAAAGTAGTCCGTGTGACATCAGTGGTTCAGCTGTAAAGTTACGAAGCTACGAGAATACTTTTTTGGGCAAAGAAAACAAAAATAACGACTTTATTCCACATTTTCGTCTCTACTTGTGGATGCGCGTTCACGACAATATCATGACGCGAGCGTGTAGCGGCGCCGGCGCTGACCCAGATCCTTGCTAGTTACCTTGCTAGTTACTCCAGATAGTTACCCTGCTGTCTATGGGAGGGTCAGAGAGCCCTCAGATTTCATCAAAAATATCTGAAATTGTGTTCCGAAGATGAACGGAGGTCTTACGGGTTTGGAACAACACGAGGGTGAGTAATTAATGACAGAATTTCATTTTTGGGTGAACTAACCCTTTAATTTGAACTATTAACTCACATGGAGTCGGTAACAGTAGCTGAATTAAAAATCAAATCATTGCTGTTGATGAATCCAAACGTAGTGTTCACATGATCACTAAAAATTTATCGGGTTGACGAGTGTGTTTATATGTCACAAGCTTCAGTGTCAGATTTGACATGTGCACACTGCACCAATATACAGAGTTTCCCATTGTTTGCACATACAATTATCCTTATGCTTCTTTTCTATGTTTCAAAGAACTGACTTAATATTTATTTATTTCGGGTGTTAAGCATGTGAATTTTTGTGTCATGCTGCTTTTTATTTATCAAGCAGTGAAATTGCCCATTCCCATAGCCAAAACAAGCCCCGTCTGTGGATGAGAGTATAAAGCGAGGCCTGACAGGACCTTGTTCTGCTCCACTTCACAGACAGTTAGTGGAAGGAGACTTTTAGATAACATGACACTCATTTATAACACTTTGTTCTACAAATTCAACAGCTCATTTCACACGTCATGTGTCGTTGCACCATTTCTATGTCATTGCATGTACGCAGTACTTTCCAGTTTTGGTTTTCAATCTGAACAAGTGTTTACATGTCCTCTTGATCGGATTAAAAAAGGTCTACACCACCCCTTCGAAATTTCATTTGGATCGAGCTCAGTCGCATCGATTAAAGTGTTTACATGAAGGCTTTTCTCTCCGATTGAGCCATCAGTCCGATTACTAACAGATTATTTGGTTGCACGTAAACCTAGCTAGTGTAGGATTATTTAAATACTGTTATATCATTAATTAGCTTTTATTTTTAATTTAATTTAATTTCAAAGTGCTTTACATAAAAAAAAAGACTTGCAATAATCATAAAATAATCACAACAGATGCACAGGAAATAAAAATAGTAATAAAAGCAAAGAATAAAAATTATTGAATATTTACTTAAAATGTCTTAAAACAGTTAAGAATAAACTTTTAGTATTTTTGTTTTATTCGTTTTTAAATTTTTATTTAGCTTTAATTTATTTTCTATTTCTGTATTAGTTGTTTTAATTTTAGTCAAAGTTTTTTTTAAGTTTTAAGTTTTTCATCTAATATTTGTATTTGTATTTTATTTAATTTCAATTACTGAAAAATATATATATTTAATAGTTTTAGTTTTATTTAACAATAACAACACTGGCCGAAAGTTCACAGAGGTGGGGTGGGTTATTTACTTTGATCATTGTTTATATATATATATATATATTTTTTTTTAATAACATTTATGACTACAAATGTGTATTGAAATGCTAAATAGGGTCGGTTTTGATTTCATGTTGACTTTAAACCTCTGCCTGCTCAAATGCATCCCAGAAAGTCTTACTTGAGCCGCTTGACGTCAGCGGTTTATCCTGACGATAGTCCTGCTCTCAGACTCTGACAGGGAATGAATGTCCTCAGCATGTCTCTGAAATGCACGTCCTCTCCTCCTCAAAGAATCTCTCTGTCCCTGTTTCTCTGTCTCATCTTACAGTAATGTTCAGTTGTGTGAAACGTTTCATTGCTTTGATTTCGTGTATTTCCATTCTGTAAATTGCTTCAACAGCATCAAGCAAAAAATCTCTTCTCCTCAGAGCAAGTAAGTGTGGTATAAACAAGGTAAAGCTTTGACATGAAACCTCATCATGCAAGCGTTTAAACCCTTCATAGCAGCGAGACCATCCGGAAGAGGCCATTGCCACTAAAGTCTGACTGCTGAAATATTTGTTTTGGTTTTTTGGTCACGTGATTCATGTATGGCAGACATATGCATTGCTTCTTTAAAAAATAATAATGCAATCCAGCTTGTTCCTTACGGATCTAATGCACACGGCATCCATGTTTTCCACCCAAACCCTGCCTGTGGAATCCTGATTCAAGGTTTATGCCGTTTATTAGACACTAACATTCAAATAACTGTTTTATAACCCAAACCGAGCTAACTTGATCAGCATGTGATCTAAGTTCAGAGAAAGTATGGGTGGTTCATCAATTACAAGAACTTTTCTCTGACTTTAAAGGATTTTAAAGACAAAATGCTTTAAAGAAAAATAATTTAAAAAAATAATTCTAGTTTTCATTCTAATTTTACTGTAGTTATTTATTTTTTTCTAATTTTTGTGAGTGTCAAAATGTTGAATTTGCCAGAATTTCTTTATTTTTCTTTACATTCCAATGTCAGGACAATTGTTAGCATATTTTCTTAAGAACTTCTAAATTAAGTTAAATTAAATTAAATTAAATTAAATTGGTACAGTTTGTGTTTTCATAAATATATATATATATATATATATATTTGATAATTTGTTTTTAAATAATCACTAGTAAGTAGTGCTGTCATTACTGTCATGCCAAGCATTTTATTATAAAATTTTTATAAAAAGTGTTTTTGTTTAATGATGGAAATGAAAAGCAGAGTGATAGTATGAAGAACAGAAATTTATTTAAATTTTTAAACCCATTTAATCTTTATTTGGTATCATCATTAAACTAGGTAATATTTGAGCATTTTTAATTAAGAAACAATGCATTTGTTATAAATTCAAAACAGATGTACAGCAGATGTGTTGTATTAGCGGGCAAATTCAACTTTTTAGTCATAAAGTGAAAAATAAAAATCCACTTACTGAAAGGAGATTGATGAAGGCTGTTATCAGATCTTCATGAGGAATCTCTCTAATTGAAGAATCACTCATATGTCACATGTATACTGTAAATGAGTGAGACTGCTCCTAATGCACTCTTCCTGATCTCCAGACTGGCTCATCCTGACGGGAGTCTGGCGGATCTGACGATGATGAGCACCTCTCCAGAGCCGCTGCTGAAGGAGGAGAAGGAGAAAGAGTCCATGAACGAGGTGCTGGTCGTGGACTGTGTGGAGGAGGAGAAGAAGAAAGAGTCTCTGTCCATCCATTCAGCTCATCTGTCCAGTCAGGAGGACATTCAGCAGTTCAGCGCCACCACAGATCCAGAACTGCCCTCAGAACAGAGCTCAGGTACTGCGGTCCAGTCCAATCTAGTCTAGTGCAGTCTATTACCGTGTAGTGTCTGTATATGTACAGTATATGTGTATACAGTATATGTATGTATGTAATATATATATAAATACACACACGTCGGCGCCAATAGCCTTGTGGACAGCGTGCTGACATATAGCCCTATTGTGCATCGGGTGTCCCGAGTTCGAGTCCCAGCTCGCAGACCTTTCCCGATCCCGTCTCTCACTTTGCTTCCTGTCTACCTACTGTCCTATCCTAATAAAAAGGCAAAAAACGCCAAAAATAAATACACACACATACAGTATAGATTTTGAAAATATTTACATGTATATACATTTATATATTTACAGTATATTCTTATATGTTATATTATATATAAATATATTTAATATATAAACAACATATT